TGTCCTTAGCATGTGTGCATGTGTATATGATATTTACTATTCTAATTCGAATTGGTGGAGTGCTAAGGCAATTTTTTACGAGATGCCTCTGAAAGCGTCACAAGGCCCCAGCTTATGAGCAGGGAGACAGGACCTTAAAGCGGTCAGACCAGCTTGAAAAAACATCTGAAAAAAGTTATTCTTGTACTTTGCAATCGTACTCAATGATACTGCTCAGTTGACTCGGTGCTATCAGGTCAAACGCAGAAGACTTTAGATTTTAAGGTAAGATAAAGCACACTTCATTTCCAATATCGAATGCCACTTTGATGAACGAGACACTTGGACATGGACTTTGGTTACACGATTACAGCAGACACAAAGGAAGTTAAAGCTAGATTAAATTCTAGCTGTTTCCACAAGTATAATGAGTTCATCTGAGGTAAATGGCGGCATAGTTCTTTATCTTTTTTTGTCTTGTGGAGTTTGTGTACGGGAACAGTCAGATGTGGTTGAAACGCAGCCGCCTCTAAAACATTTGCGATCAGTGCTTATTCTCTCTCAGGTCGTGATGCCACACTTCATTTGGTGTTTGATGTTGCAGGTGAATGGAGCAGCTCTGCCAATGCCTTTGTTGAGCTAACTACAGTAATAAATGATTGAGGACAGTTTGAAGCTGTATTGAAAAGATGTGTTTTCATTTCTCAGAATTTTCCATTTGGCTTTGTGGTGATTGGTCTGTTCTTTATTCTGTAATTTGGAGCAAGTTCAGAGCACAAGTTGAAGCTGTAGATGCCTGGAAAATTTAAAAAAACTGCAGGATGGTATTGGATAACTTTTTAATTTAACCTTTTTATGCAGTTGTTTTTTACTCATTGAAATAAATGACTGTGCTTGGGCGGTGATCACATTAGTAAATTACTTATTTGATTCCTAAAAGAATGATATTAATATCATTGAACTGTGCTAGTTTACCAACACTGTGTGTGGAGAGAATGAACAATGCACAAATTTGTGATTTTGTCTAATTAAAGATTATTTCTTACTGCTGCACGATGACGAAGCGGTTAGAGTTTGTATTTCACAGCAAGACGGTCCTGGGTTGGATTTCACCTCTAGGCCATTCTGTGTGGACTTTGCCTGCTCCTCCCGTGTCTGAGTAGGTTTCCTCCAGGTGCTCCGGTTTCACTTACCACTTAAAACATGTACAAACACCATCCGGTGGTTGATGTTTTTTGGGGGCTTTGATGTGTGTTTGGCTTCTTGCTTCCGTCATCACGTCTGTGGAGAGAATGGAAATGGAAAAAAAACATAGTGTGCTTTGGATGACTTTGGTCTGTAAAATGCGCTACATAAATAAACATTACTTGCTTCTACTAGGCTGAAACTTATTGTACTTGTCGGTGCTGCTTTCTTCATTGTTTCCATTATCTAGTTGTAGGTTAAATCTGGCAACTTGTATGTGAAAGCCCGATCCTGTCAGATCTCTGAATCTTATTGGTGGTGGTCGGAGGGGCCAATGGCACAGATTTGTAGACTGAATTCTGGCAGCTGTGGCTACAAGTAATTCACCCTGACTAGTATGGAACGAATGAATAATGCCATATCTTTAGATGTCATAAGAATCCCAATATAGCCTAAGTAGCATACATCATTATCTGGAGCCACTTTTGTTTTGTTGGCTTGTCATCTTGTATTCCACTCTTACACAATCCCTGTACCCCTGTCCTGTCCTGGTTCCTAAGTTGTATTTATCATTAGTCCGGAAAGCCACGCTGATGAGCCATATGACATTTTGCGAGGAAGTCTGGCAAACTCTCCTTTGCTTGCCTCTGTCCCTTGGCACAGCTTCAGCAGGTAGAGATCAAAGCGTGGACCCGTGAAGCAACTGGACGGCAGAAAAATGCCCTCTAAGCACACACACAGACAGACACACACACACACACACACACGTACACACCGATGTCCTTCAAGTGTCCTGTTTGAAAAAGTTTGACCCAACGTATTTCATCTCAGTCAGAAATTAATGTTATCAGTATTCATATGCAGCGTGGGCACTTCAGAAACTGAAATTAAAAATCTTTACTGTTGGGAATAGTAAAGGTGCCCCATCTAGAAAACTTCAGACACAGTTATCAGCATGTAGAGATCAATTTAGCCAAGTTCATTACCCACACTACTCAAAAATAGATCCGAAATTAGATTACTTTTCATTTAAGTTGACGACCAATTTGAAGAAGAAACAGACATGTAGTCAAAGGTGAGGAGAGGTTTAGTAATATTTCACACCATAGTTTCTAATAGAGCCATTAGTCATTAGAGGACGGAGCAGCTGTCAAATAAATCTTGTGTTCACTCATGCTTTTAAACTTGGCTAAAACTGTGCAAGTAAAAAAGGGTCTGTTAAAGAATGAAGTTCACCACACACAGCAGTGGGTACATGTAGCCCAAACTAGAAAAGAGTTGTCTGTTTTTCTCGTATGGGATTCATAAAATACTGTAAAGGCCATCTGAAAGAAATTCTACTTATGTTTGAGTTCCGTGCCATATTTTACCAATACATTAGCCATGTTCCTATCACTTCCAATGGGGAAAGTTTTTTGCGGCGGGGGAAACTGAAGCGCCCGGAGGAAACCCAACCCAAAAAAATGGGAGAAGGCTGGAACGCAAAACTTTTCTTCTGTGAACTCAAAATATTTAGCCACCGTAAATAGTAGTCTGCAAAAAAAATCTATTTAAAATCAATGTTGTATTTAGTTATAAGAAATATTATTATTATTATTTAGTTATGAAAAAAGTATATATATTTTTTTCAAACTTAGTTCAAGTATCTGATGTATTTTTTATTTTATTTTACTTTGACCTAAAAACAACTCATCTTCAATAAATGAAATATAAATGCATCAAAAGCATTGCATTATTGTTGAAATGTGGTGAAACACAAGATAAGGGGCCAAAAGTAAAAGTAAGTTACAAAATATATCAAATTGAAAGTCCCCTCTATCTTTATACATAACGTACTGTTTTGTGCGCCTCAAGACTGGTATTGAATCTGCAGACCCTGAAGATATATAAACAAAATCTACCTCGAACACTTGAATTCCATGCCATATTTTAGCTATACAATATTCATATTATCTCCGTGTTCCTATAATAGTTTCATGTTCCCACAAGAAATTGCACAATGAAGCCACATGCATAGAACATTAAAAAGTTGCAACACCCCTCCTTCTAAATGTAACAAACCGTCTTGTATCTTTCATAATAAGTCTTCATGCGCCTCTTCTGCCTTTCCACCCGATTGGATATGCTTGACTTTTCATGCCGTAACCTGTACTTAGTATGCACAGCCATGAACCCAACTGTCCACCAAACCAATTTCATCTACCCACAAATTGAAAAGGCTTTGCTCATCTGCCGTATTTAAAAATGCATGTCCATGGTTTTTTAGGTGCAGGTCGTGTGTTTTCTCTGTGTGCTCGAATCCAGACATTTCGGCGTTGATCCATGGCTTCGGCACACGGGAATGGCTGCCACGCTTGTAGCTGCTCCTCGAGGAACGTAGTCTCTGCAAAGTGGGTCTCCAATGGCGGCTGATACATAATAAATCATTTACACAGTAATTTTGGAATGCAATATCCCGCTCTCAATGCTGGTGTTTCTGTGCCTTTGTTATTGGAGTGAATGCTGCAGAAGTGGAGCCCTAAGCTTCAGAAATTGAAAATTGATCAGACAGAGCCGGGAGGTACTGTTGGCGTCACCTGGGGAGTTGTATTTAGCATTTACACACAGTGCCATCTCTGGGTCCTCCCCCCTGTCCCACCCCTCTGGTCATTATGAGTTGTGACCCCGTGTAAGAGACAGGACTATAGGGGCTGGAGTTTCAATAGTGATAACAAGTTATCAACAAAAATGCTGCAGGAACATTTATAAACCATGTTGTCGTTCATGTTTCGGGAACTTGAAGGAGCCATCCCCGCACGAAGCAACGTCTTTTTAATGTCCAAGACAGAGTGTCCAATTAGCACTTAAACAAGGGGAAAGTTTTCATTAATAATACATGCTGTTATGGTAAATGAATATTTGTCCAACTGCACTGTGTATTTGATTTATATGGGTGTACTTTATGACAAAAAAATATGATAATTTATTAAGAAATTCATAATTAAGACATTCATACAGTACAGTAGGAATGAGCAACACACAGCAAAAGAAACGGAACAATAACTATACTAAAATAAAATAATCTAACTTTATCAGAATAAAGGGGCAGGTATACAATCTATAGCTTTAGCGTAATAACCCATATTTAATTTTAGCATAATAAAGAAGCAAGTATACATTGTTATATATCCATGTGCATGTATTTGTGTTGTATTTTGAAATTGCAATATTGCTTATGTTCAGATAACGGGAAAATGTTACTTCTATGTTTATCTCCGCATTAAAATGTCATTTAATCAGACCAGAACATGCCGTCTCCATCTTCGTATCCATTTGACAAAGCTGATAAACATGCATGTATTTAGATCTAATGGTATAACACTAATTGTGGAAACTAAACAGAAAGAACAAGGAACTGTATTTTTTGCGGTTTGAAAGCTCGGTACCCTAGTTTTAACCTTATCTGTGATTGTATTGTGTTGAATATAAATATAATAGATTATTCCTGAAAGGGCTCTGTCATGTTAACTGTATGAGCTGTTTTATGTCCTGACAGATGAGTCGATAAAAGTGATGGTTAGTGCAGTGTCATTCATTTCCTTTTTTCTTTTCCTTGCAGCACGGGATAAAAGACCTGACAAGTCTGAGAGGACAGTGACTAAGGACCTCACGGGAGCGGAGCCATAGAATTGTGACTATTCCCTGTTCCTGCGCCGCCGGCCTGCTCTCTCACAGCTGATGACTGTCCCAGAGGTGACTGGACTGGAAGCCTAAGCAGAGGCCCAGACGCCCGTGTCCCGCCTGGGCTGTCGGCCCTGTATGTTGGTCGCTAACAGTCGCTGTCGCTCACAGGGACCATGTGGAGAAGTAATCGTTACTCTAAGAACTGGCCTGGTGCCCTTGGGTGTGCCAACCTCAGCCCGTCCTTGTGGATACTATGTTTTTGTTGGTGCTTCATTGCAATAAGAAGTCAGAACTACCACCCCACTGTGAACACTCAGTATGGAAAGCTTCGGGGGGTGAGGGTTCCTCTGCCCAGTGAGATCCTGGGGCCGGTCGACCAGTACTTGGGGGTTCCCTATGCTGCTCCACCTGTTGGGGAGAAACGCTTTCTGCCTCCGGAGCCCCCTTCCTCATGGTCAGGCATCAAGAACGCTACACACTTTGCCCCCGTTTGCCCACAGAATATCCACAATGCAGTGCCAGATATTATGATGCCAGTGTGGTTCACCTTCAACCTGGATATCGTCACCACCTTCATACAAGACCAGCACGAGGATTGTCTTTATCTCAACATCTATGTTCCAACAGAAGATGGTGAGTGCATTGGGTAAACCAGAACACACCTCTCTTTTGCTGTCTCTCTTTTCTCAAAAGTTTCTCAATTTTGCGCATGACCCGTTGTCTGGCGCATGCCGTGTCTGTGTCCATCTGCTCCATCTTGACTGGACGAATCATTTAGTCTTTTCATCAACTCTCCCCTTTCATGTCACTGTTAGAGGTTCCTCTTTTGATGACCAAATAAACATTTCAAAAACAATTCAAATCAGAAAAGAACGAGATTGGAAGTTCTCGGTGCACCTCCCTCCCCTCACTGTCTTGACTGTCCTGGGGAATCAGACGCCTGCTCCATAAGTGAATGACCTTTAGGGTTGGTGAAATGTTCTCTGGTACAGAGGAGGCCCGTGGCATTAGCCGTCACTATGTAAGACCCTCTACGCTCCTTTTCTTGTCCTTGCACAAAAGAAGGTTTTGAATCAAAGGGCTAATATTGATTGGTCGGCAGCAACTAAAAACTTTTTGATTTATTGCTGTTGATACTTTGAAACTGCTCCCATTACTACACCACTTAAAGGAGACCCACACAGTAAAATGGCTTTAAAATGTTAAGTGCCCCAAAATGGCTAATGTCAAATAACACTTTGGGTTATCAGATTAGAACGTTAAATGTCTTTTTGTCTTTTGGTCTGTGTGGCTGTATTGGGTCTTAAATAGAAGTGCATGTGAATATGGGCTTCCTTCGTCCCAGAATGCAGCAAATTCATTCCACCATTTTGGAATATTTCTGCAGTTACACCCCAGTTACTTTCTCAACAGGTCCTTTTGTGTTGTTATCCAATGAAGAGGGTATTTGGGGTGGAGGGGAGATGGGTTTTTGACGAGAAAAAAAAAATGGTTGGAATCAGTTGTTGCATGTTACCTGCTATCTTTTCCAGAGCTCGCTGTTATTTTGTAGTTTTCCCATTCATTTTACAGTCAAAAGAATATCCAAGGAATGTGCCAGAAAACCCAACAAGAAAATGTGTAGAAAAGGAGGTATGTAATACAAATCCATACATGCAACAGAAACCGGATTTTGAACGAAGCTCCAGAGCAAGTGGGATCATTGCATCTTTCCAAAGTCGGCAATGTCACCAGCTCCGGTCCCTGATCTGAGTGATAATTGGGACGAGCGTGGGACCTGTGAATCAGAGCAACCACGACATGTGTGAGCGAGTGCAATAATGTGTCTAATGAATGCTGTGAAGAAAAAAAAAAAAAACATGTGATTGCAATGTTAGCTTTATATAATAGTGTCGCCCAACAATGTTCTTATTGAAATATGGCAACATTTAGACATGGTTTTGGAGATGGTGTCAGAATGTCATATTTGTGTTCATAGATGTGGTTGCATATATGTAAAACATCTGGCACATATTTGGTTGTGTCTGACCCTGACCCATATTATCTAATACAATACAATAAAAATACATGTTATAATATTTCTCAAATAAATGTATTTTGGAAAAAAATGCATATTCACCTTCATTGCAGGATAATTTTGAACACCATTGCACCATGAACAAATGTTGTTATAAATATAAATTCAAATGTTTCTGTTGCAAACGTTTACATTTTAGGATTAAGTCAGAAGCGGCGCCTCCAAAAAGTCTAATTGTTACATATTTGTTACATTTGACCCCTGTAATCGTCTCGTCTCAACTGTTAATGACAAATATTCAAACTGCTGATCTATTCTATTATTACTAGGCCAGTTATGGATAGGTGGTTTCTATCTGCACAAGCCCAAGAGCAGATAATAATCTTAGTCAGTAATAACAGAGGGCGTCTGGTGAAGCCTGAAGGCTCTTGGTAGAGTGTGATCTTGGGCACAGAAGTGGACAGTAAAGATCCAGTCTGAGCTGGGAGAACACTAGTTGATTTCCACTGAGGCTGAAGCAGATGTTAGCTTTACTGTTCGCTCACAATTAAAACTCATTTTAAGAGATGGACTGACCCTCCAGGCGTTTCAGTTTCTGAATTAATCCCAGTTGTGGAATATAGCAAGAAAAATCTCTTTAATACTTCCCCTTCCACTTGCAAATTTTCAATTATCTTCGTTATGTTCAGTAATGAGGAAAGGGTTTATCCAAACCTTGTGGACATTGTGTTGCCGTCCCACTACAACCTGAGGGTTATTATTCGTAACTACATTTCTTTAGCCTCAAATCGCTCCTTCTGGTCTTTACCCTTGAATTATCAGTGCTAAATGACAATAATGAATCCCAATGCACTACAAACTCTCTCCAAAAGCTTATTTAAAAAAACATCTGAAAGTTAGTGTTGCTTTATTAATCCAACAATTGTTATTTGAGTCATGCACAAGGCGTCTTCAAAAAGTCTCTTTCAGACAGCACAGTGCAGGATGAAGACCGTTATGAACAAAGCTGTATTTGACTCCTGATTAAACAGTGTGATTGTTGCCAGGCAACAGGATGCCGTTGTAACATCAGAGGTAAATGACCCTCTTACCTCGCACAAAGCACATTTGTTGTTGATGCCTATCAAGAGAGAAGAAAACAGAACTCACCCACCTCATTACATGCAGGACGCGTCCTGAAAGAACAGTTAACATTCAAGAATTATTTTAATAGTCAAGCTTGATTTTCAGATCATGAATGAAGGAAAAATATATTTCAAGCTTTTTCAGATAGTGATATGATGCTGACTTGACATGAAAAAGCAACACACAACACACTGCTCTTTCTTCATGTTGGTGAACAATTATGTGCAGGTAACACACATTTATACTGGTTTGAAAGGTCGTCCTTGTACAGTCTAGTCCTCGTGTCATATTCAAAGTACATTATTTAGGCTCACACACTCCTACACACACCTACACACACCTACACACACCTACACACACCTACACACTCCTACACACACCTACACACACCTACACACTCCTACACACACCTACACACTCCTACACACTCCTACACACTCCTACACACACCTACACACTCCTACACACTCCTACACACACCTACACACTCCTACACACTCCTACACACTCCTACACACACCTACACACTCCTACACACAGTGAGTATAAATGTATATGAAGACAGAATGATGTAAACCTTTGGTTTCCACTGAATGCATTCATTCACATGATTTGCACATATATGTTACTCATTCAGAAACATATTTACATACAACATGTACGCGTTGACACATTGTACATAAAGAATACGTTTAAAACATGTTTTTAACTTCATCACCAGCGTGTCTGTGCGTGCACTGCGTCTGATGTAGATACTACAGTTTAAACTGATGTTGTTTCTAGAAATAATTCTCTATACCATTTTTTGTGCTGAAGTAATTAATTTAAAATGGTATTTTTAGATAATACACTGTATTGTATTTAACTCTTTTTAATTGTTTTTATTATTTTTTTTCAAATTAAGAAACTACATACATGTAGTTGAAATTAATACATATAGTTTAAAATTATGTATTTCTTTTATTGATTTTAGTATCTGTATTTGTTCAGATTAGTGTCTAGTTTCTAAATTAGTTTTAGAATGGATTAACGTTGATGTTCCGTACTTCTGACCACCCTTGTGTGTCCGGTCCTGAGTGAGTGTGGATTGGACGTCCTTCTGTATTTTCTACAGAGGGCCGCTGTCTCCCCACTGTCCCGTACACTGCTCTGTACCAGTGTTAATTTTGTTGACAAAATATTATTGTCATATTTTTTTGTCACTTTGGGAAAGAAAACGATCAGAAAATTAAAATGGTAGTCATTCATTGGGACAAAGACGATGACTAATTTGATTGACATTTTAGTCAACAAATAAAATACGCGACACGAAATAGACCATGACGAAATCCAATCAGAAGAAGGGATAAAGCAAATGAGAAAACAACCAATCGACTGGCCGGACTAGATGCAAGGAGGACCAGTGAGGCCTTGCCTTAGTGAGCACCAGTGGCACCAGCTGTGAACAAAAGCTATTGCTAACGCTAACCAAAACACCACTCTCGTTAGCTTGAAAAGTATCCATCGGGGATGAAAAGAACAAGAACATGCCCCTGGATGAGAAAAAAAGAAGAGGAGATCTGTGAGCCTTTTTAACGTTTTAGAAAGAAGAAAACAAGAGATGGTAACATGAAACCCTGTGAAGAGGCATCGCAGCCTTGACATGTTCCAAGCTTTGAGGTGATTCATTTGCTCCAACAACATCACGTCGACACAAAACATAACACTCTGAGGTACATTTCTTTGCTTAGACTTTATTTTGTTTTAATAAAGACAAATTAATCACATGAAAGATTGCTCCAATGTGACGCAAACAATAAAGTGGACTAAATTAGTAAAGTAAAGTAATTAAGCTACTTGTGTCACAATTGTCATCGTAGGCTACAATCGATAACACTGTATGTATTTGTTAAAAAATATCCCTATCTTTACAAATGCCATGAGCAACATGTTTCCAAAAAATAAGTCATATGTTCGTTCAACTAAAATTGCTTCATATTTTCTTCGACTAAAAGTAAATTAAATCAAATGACTGAATTATGACTATAACTAAATTACAATTTAGTTAAAAGACTAAGACTAAAACAATATTAGTATTTTTCACCATTAAAAAAATAATGTACATTTTAAAACTGTGTTAGTCCCTTTACCTCCCTTGGGGCCACGAGGAGTCTACTGTCCACTGTGCTTCTCTCATCTCACTGACTTGCAATGAATTTCTCCCTATTTAGCCACGTTAAAATACATGAATTCAAATTGGAAAAATCTCGTACTGAAGCGCTAGTGATAAGTTCAATGTGAAATTCAAAATCAGAAATAAGTCGACTTAATAAACTCAGTTGGTTTCCCAGAACAAGAAGATGGATTTTCTTCAATATAATAGACACAGCAGCTGACCTTCTTTCTCCCTGGGCTCAAGCACATCACCGTGAGGAGTCGGACCATTGTTGTAAAGGTCACGTGGATATGGACCTTGTGCCAGATCAGCATGTCTTTGAACTGGCCCCTACAG